TATGCTTAGGAATAAATGAATTATATAAACACACGTACACTGTACTATCAAATGTTTCAAATTTTCTTTTCTTAGTTCTCTAAACAAATAACCTTTTCTGCAGGGCCTTTATGACAATCTGCTACAGTGCAGATGGGAAATGTCTGCTGGCGGCAGGCCAGTCTAAGAGTGTGTGTATCTACTCCATTCCTGATCAACTCCTGCTGAAGAAGTTTGACATCTCCTGTAACATGTCATTTGACGGCATGGAGGTAAGAGAATGTTGATCAGTTTTAGTATGATTTTAAGCTAATTTCTCTTATTAAATTTTAATTACATGAAATTCATTATAAAGATTTTTTTTTCATCTTAGATGAACAGATTTTTCTTATTTTTAAGAAATTACATTCAGAAATGCTTGTAAATTATCAAGGAATATTTGGATAAGAAGAAAATGTCAGATTGGGGCAGTCTAGCACTAGTTGACCAGGGAGAGGGAGACAAGAACGGACAGAATATCAGTCTCCCCGGGGTAAAGAAGGGTGACTATAGCAGTCGTCACTGGAAACCAGAGGTCAGGGTCGTCAGCATACAGTTCTCCCCAACAGGTAACATTTGTTTTCTCTCAATCCATTTTTTACAGAAAAAAATATTTTTACAATTCAGTTTTTTCTTATTTTGAAGTCTATGCCCAAATCCATAATGCTTGCTTTATCAAAAGTTGCAAGAAAAGTAGTGCACTTGTCCTTGCTGGAAGAAATTGCGGTCCTGCAAGTAATACAGTTATGTTACTCATTAAATCATTTGCCACATTGTTTCCTTTACAGGGAGAGCATGGGCAGCAGCCACCACAGAGGGCTTGATGATTTATTCTCTGGACAGCAGCTTGGTGTTTGACCCTTTTGACCTTGATATTGAAGTGACACCTAGCAGCACAAAGAAGGCTCTGTCAAAGGGAGAATACTCTACTGCTCTTATTCTCAGCTTTAAACTAAATGAAGCAAAACTAAAACAAGAAGTTCTTGAGCATATTCCTGTTTCTAGCAGTAAGTAGACGTAATTATTACCACCATATTCTAGTAAGATTTTAAACAAAATATGTTTTCATTAATTTCTGGAACTTTAATGAGTTGGTGTATTTTTCAAACTACTGAACCTATGAAAGGTGTAATGTTTTAGAAGGACAAGTGATTCCTTCTAAATCCCAATGACAATTTGAATGTATACACTGTATATATATATAATCTCATTTAAGTTGAAGTGATAGTGGAGAATTTGCCTGATATATATGTGGACAAACTGTTAGTGTTCTTAGCCTCACAACTGGAGACCACAGCTCATATTGAGTTTTATCTTCTGTGGGTGAACAGAATTCTTATGACACATGGCCTCAAATTAAAACAGAGGTCACAGAAAATTATCAGCTGTTTACGGACGCTTCAGAAAAACATTACCAGAAAGTATGAGGACATTGGTAAAATGTGAGTATAAAAAGGTCTCAAAAAAGCAACAAAGGTTTGCTTATAATCAAAGATAATTTTTAAGAATCATTAAACCCACCATACTACACATTACATTGTCATTATATACATGTATAATGATCATCATCCATCTCAGATCCAGTCTTCCCAATCCTGGCCATTCAAACCCCCCCCCCCCCCCCCCACACACACACACACACACACCCTCAATCACCCCTTCTTCACATTTTAATGATCTTTTTATCATGATCAGGAAAGCTGAAGAGTCCAAAAGTTTACTATTATTTAAAAAAATATATATATTTGCATCTTTCAGAAAAAAAGTGCTAATTCCAGAAAAGTTTAATTCTTTATTTGGTCCATTTATGGAGTACATCTGATGATACTTGGTCAAGCAAAAATGTTGCTAGCCACAGACATAGTTCTTGCATTATTTATTGCATTCATTTGATTTCAATATGGGCATAATTGTTTGACATTAATTGACTGTATCAGTTGGCAGTCATATGTCATACCTTTCACTAAGATTATATGAATTATCTCCCCTAATCCAGATCACTGTCAGCTATTGAATTTAATCTTCTCTTACGTTGTTTAATATTGTTTGGTTTTTGGTTAGTAAATCACTGCATGTATTATGTATAAATGATTATCTGTATAGATATTTAAATTGTTCTTTAAGATAAAACAGTTACTTTTAAAATCACCTGTGGGTGCTAGTATTTAAATAGTTGTATGACACATTGTTGGCTGATAGATTAAAAATATGAGTGTTAAACTTAAAGAGATACACAACACAAGTCTACATGGATGGTCTTCATTAACCTTGAATTAAAAAAAAAATATGTTTTAAATATTTAGAATTGCTCATATGGTTTTAAATTGAGAAATTGTCTTACATTGACAATTTTTAGATTGTCAACTTTACTGTACATGATTTCAATTGAAAAATTATTTGAAAAAAAATGTAAAAAATAAGATTTTTTTAGAGAGTAAAACCCGCTTCATGAATTAAGGTGTAAACACAACTTTAACCATAAATGATTACCCGGTAATTGACTAATTGTTTTGTTTATTTTAGCTGTGACCACAACAAGTACAGTATAGACTATTTACTGGCGTTGTCGGAGTGTAAACGTAAGCGGACCCCCCACACAGAGGAGGGGGAGGAGATCAGTGATCGTGAGATGGACCAGGAGAACGATCTCGACTCTTCTGATGAGGACTTTATGTCTAATCTGATGGAAACAGTCACATAATTATCTCAACATTAAAAAAAATATATAAACTTTTGTGCTGTTATTATTTACACCTTTAAAGATGGAGAAATTTTTTTTTTGGTGTCATTATATACACCTTTATAATTGGGGATTAACTCAAAATTAATAAAAAAGTAATTTTATGAAATATGAAGAAGTACATATGTTTTTCTATCAGATACCTGACAGCTGGGTAACCCCCCATCACCCTTTCCATTAAGCCAGGTTTCAAATCATATTCATGATCAGGACACCAGTCATGCAAATGATATTTTTATTTCCATGTCAGTTTTTGGTAAAAAGTATTCTGAATCCACTCCCTGTTTTGTTTTAATATCAGTGCCATTTTTATTTACTCGGTATTTGATTTAATTTTTAAAAAAAAAGACTGTCACAGTTTGTCATTATCCTAGCCGGGTTCCTATCATTTTTACACAAGGAATACTTAAAGTCAAATATCGTTTAATAAAAGATTTTGTCTTCGTGGCTTAATGTATTAAGACTGGGATTGTGTTAGTTATAATGGTAATGATTTCTGATGAAGAATTGTGCCTTTTATTTGGTCTGAATGACAGTTTCACTTTGATTTCCAATATGCATAAAAGGACTCCGACAAGGTCGCCGAATGATACTGAATAACCAATGGAAGTATGTCAAGAATTCAGTCATAACTTTTAAGGACATATGTATGGCACACCATATTCACAAAAATGAGCTAAACATAGTTTCACAGTCGATAAACTAGGGTTTATTGGTTGTAAACTATAGTTTATGGACTTTAAACTATAGTTAACAATGTTAATCTATATTTTACATCTGTAAACCATAGTTAACGCGATAATCTATGTTTCAGAACTGTAAACTATACTTGACACTGAAAACAATCATTTGCGATTGCAAAACAGATTATCTGATAAATACAGTTTCACGATTTGTAAACTATGGTTAACAACTCTTAACTATAGTTTAATAACGATCTGATAAATATAGTTTCATGATTTGTAAAACTATGATTAACAACTCTTAACTATAGTTCACGATTGTAAATTATAGTTTACAGACGTGAATCTATGTTTATCAACAAAATCTATTGTTAACGTTTTATTACAGACAGATAAACTTAGATTAGCATTCGTAAACTATAGTTAACAACCGTTAAATATAGTTTTACAGATGAAAACTATAGTTTACGAATTGTTAAAAATAGTTCACGGTTTGTAAACTATAGTTTACAGTCGATAAACCTAGTTTATCAACTATGAACTATGTTTAGCTCATTTTTGTGAATTTGGTTTGCCATACATATGCAACGTAGTTTGAAATTTGTTGTCTTTTTCCATGGAGTTGAAGAGTTCCATTACTTGAAGGAACTGTGTGCTATTTTTGATTGTCTATATACATTGTACGGTGTTGTACACTTCTTCTAATACAAGTTTTGATAAAAGAAACATCTAGGATATATACTTAGTAATCTTAATATATTTTTCTTTGAATTACCCAAGAATTTTCATCAATTGATATCGGTAATGCATGCTGATTTTTTGTCTATGAACATCTGATGCCACTATAATCTTAAATTAAGAATATATTGGAAAAATTATCGGTAGATAAGGCTCGTTGCGTCTGACATTAAATAATAAATGTAATTTATGTTATAAATAAATTTTTAACGATTTTTGATAGGGAAAAATAATCCAGTTAATCTTAGAAACGCTCGCGTAGAAGTATTTTTTACAGCTTATGTCAATGAAACGTGATGAGGAATCTGATAACGTGAAAACATACAGTGGTTACTTGGATACTAAAACAAGTGGAAATCGGTAAAATTCTCTCAGCAATTACTATCACTTTCCTGTCTCGGTACTTTTGCTACCCGGGGACCATGATCTGAGTGGATCCGGACACGCTTTACATCGATCTGACACCGCTGCTCATAAAGTCTATTGTGTTACGTGACACCCAGCTATATTTTCTGAAGTAACCCTCTGCTGTTTTATTGCTGATATCGATTTTTTGATTTGAGACTTAAATTTCAATTGCCGTAAGAGCTTTGTCAATACAGATCATAAATATGTGTTATCTAAGTGATTAACGGATTTGTTGCAGCTTGTTCTTTTTATTGGAACAAGAGTCTATAAGATACAAATGAAATTAAAACTCTCTCTCTACATTTTGGACAATTATTCCAAATTGTCATTCAAAAATACTACATAACGTATATGATAACATTCTGAAGTTAATTTTCTTTTTAGTGGTTTCTCGTGTTTCAACGGTTTCTTTACATGTCGGTTATTGTTGATCAGAAGAATTGACGATTGAAAGAGTCGAATACTTGATCGTTCGATGATCCTCAAATTTGGTCGCGATTTAAAATTGAAATGAATATAAACGATATTCCCTGCTTGTTAATGATCAATTAAATGATCCTTTAGTTGTATTTTAAATGTAATACAAGTATTTGCCATTGAAAGTTAAATTCTACCTCTAAGATAAAAATCATCCTTGAAATTATCGTCTGACCAAGTCTGGTTTTGAACATGCTGATTTGAAAGAAAAAACGCACCATATGTCAATATTTTTTCGGTAACACATTTCAATCGTCAATTAAAGAGTGCATGTTAGTTTAGAACCCCTCGGAGAATTGAACCATTCATGTAAACATTTGTTTTCTGTTCGTAGTGTTCACGTTTTCATTATGGGTTGCTAATTGGCCTTGGATTATGATGATTGATATTGGTGTATTGACACCCTTAACGCAACAGACCTCTGTACATGTGCTTGCGCGGATTAACACCGGATTAATAGTAATCCATCGAGGGAGGATTAAGGGGGTTTAACCACTTACGACTATTTCTCGAGATCGCTGGAACCGATCGGACGCCAAACTCAGAAACTGGTCTGGTAATGGCCCCCTTGGTTTAATGAGGTTTCTGTGTTATCAGTGGACAAGTACTCTTTTGAAATAGTGATAGCGACATTCTTGTCTCTAACTTTTGTGTTAAGATTTCAAAAAATTAAGGAGGCTAGGACCATAAGAGATTATGAAATGAATTATGAAACAAAGGATTTACATTTGTTTTCCTTTTTGAGTATTTTGGATCCAGTCTGGATATTTTGTTCATAAAGGAATGAACTTATTTCTACGGTAAAAGGTAAGATAATATTTTCCAATGTCCCAAAGTTGAAGAATCCTTAAACTTTTAATTTGACTTGAAACTTGTTTTTTATGTTTATGGTTAAATTCTGAATTATTTGTCGAGGACCATATATTGCTTACTTACATTTTTGATCCGTTCCCCTCTACACATGCAGTCTGAAAGGGACGGATCAGAAATCGTTTGTAAAGAATCCCTCCCTCAAAATCACGTATTCTTGAATTTATTTCACTTTAGATGTTTTCTTTTAGGAATAAGACAATATCGTTTATTGCCTAGTATTTTATATGAAAGTTCTTAATATTTACATATGGTTCAAGCAGTTTTTGAATTAAAATGTGTATTAAGTCATTAATTGTAATAAAAAGTCGAAACAAGAAACCTACACAAATACAAAACATCAAATTGAATAATTCCAGTGTTCACATACCGTAATTAAAAATATTAAAAATTAAAACCAAACTCTTGAACGATGTTTAATCTCAAAGTAACACAAGTAGTCATTTAATCCAATTTCGTTAGTGATAGAGTAGATCAATGAAATCTTATTCTAAAATAATAACAAGTAAAAAAAACCAACTTGTAAGCTGTTTTAGTTCAAAGCACCTGCCAATTTTTAGTTTTGATATGACAATATCCAGGAAATATTGATTATTGTATTATTGATATTGATTGATTGCGATTTTTGTTTATTACTATTTATAAACATAGCATATCCCGAAAAACTACCAGTAGAAACTAGACCTGAATTAAAAACTGGTACTTATAGCAACTTTGGGACGGATTGTATATGTGTATGCTATAGATTAGTAAGCCATTAGATTAGTTAAACATAATGGTAACAAAGTATAATTGGATTGTCGATTGTGTAATGAAAACACTCGCGAAATTTTGCGTTCCAAAGTTCAACTTTTCGAATTCCTATTCAAAAGTTGTCAATAGTGGTTCGATTTTGCAGTTAGCAACTTTTTCACCATTTGAACAGAACTCGTGTTTGCTGCCCGCCTTCTGCCAAGGTTTCTAAACCGTATAACTGTTAGAGGTGTGCTACAGCGTTCTACAAACACAATATATCGACCCCACTGATATTATTATTAGATGTGAATGTAGATAGAATTCGATTTAATTTAATTATAAATAGTGGAATAATACATCTGAAATTGAATTTCTGATATTAATTTAAATCAGACGCAGATGGAATGATTGATGGGTTTAATGGTATGCAACAATAAAATGACACCATTTATCCATTATTGTCGAAAACTGAAATTCACCCAACACAATTTCATTTTTTAAACTTGATCCATTGTATGTTTTCTAGTTTTGTTGCATCGAAAAGGACAATGAAAGACCTAAACCCAGTCCCCGAAGATAAATTGGCAAGAATCAGACTGAACACAAGAGTTGTGTCCCCTCGGAAGCGGAAACCACTGAAGTCTCTGAAATCCGATCCCGGTGGACTTCTGTTGAAGGATAAAGGACTAGATGACAGCTCAGAGGATACACTGTCTTTAAGTCGGTCTGCGACATTCCTGGATTTTGACAAACAGATGATGTCGACAGACCCCCAGCGAAGTCAACATCACGCCTTCCTCAGGAGAATGTCATCTGTTAACTTGACCAAATCTTATACGATGCCAGACCTCTTTGACAGTGTCAGACCCAAAGATGTATACGAGGACAATTTGCTACGACGAAATGTTCGTGAAAACTTGGTCAAGAAACGGCTACACACGACGCAAAATGTGCATGTGTATCCTCTACCGAACAGTCGCAACAAACTGGATACGTTACAGGAAGTCTTGATGCAAAATTCCTCTTTCGCAGATCCGCACCATTCAGAGGTAACGGAGGAGGAGAAGAAATTGGTAGCTGATTCACGGCGAAAGAGTATAGAAGAATCGGGTCTGTGGCAGTTGGCTTCCGCGCAATTGTTCAAAATGAAGGCTCAAAAAACTAACAATCTAGAGGACCACGCCATGGCTGTGTTCACCAGGAAAGTTGCCATTAACAAAATGAGACAAAGAATAGAAAAAAAGCTAGATTTACCCAAAGACCATTTCTCGCGAGTTGCCACGTTGCGCAGCAATGTACAACACATAGAGCGGCGATATCGGAATATTGTCCAGGGGTCCTCCACTGAAGCTTCTGGATCCACCCATATCTACGCTCTGCAACGCTTTGACGTAGAAGACGAGTCAAACAGAGACCCCAAGTTTATGAAACCAGGGGAGGTAATTTAGATGGCTGCTTTTTTTTCTTATGTTAGACCTAGCTGAATTTCAAATGCTCGAAATTTTATTAGATTAATTCATTAAGAAATATCAAAGAAATGAATCCATTTCTGACAAATCTTAAGTAATCTAATGATAAACCTTTATTTTTTTAGGCATTGCAGTTCTTTCGTCGGTATGCCAGAATAGTGCTCATTATACTTAAATGGATCGAGCTCATTATGGAGTAAGTGTTGCTTTTTATTTACTATTATTTACATTTTCCTGGTGTATGAGACAATTTTGTGGATTCAAACAAGATTTATAAGGCTTACATTTTATATGACAGTTCTAGTGAGGGAAATAAGCTGGAAAGAGAGCTGAAATCCTTCGTTGACATCGCTAATGAAGTCTCCTGTGAAAACGTATCTCGGACGATGGACGAGTACGGACTGTCATTTGATAAAAACTACTTTGTGGCTAAAAAGGAGGTGAGTTACACCTACCCCGCACTCTAACTCAACAAATTAATGCTTTCTCAAGTTCCTGTACATATTTACCACTTTAGTTTACGGGAATTTATTGATTGATTGATGAATACTGCGGTTTTGTTAATTTTTGTGGAGACCAAATTTCGTGGTTTTGGCAAAAAGTTTCGTCGATGTATAAATTCATGGACACCCATTTTATCCAATTTTACCAAAAAGCAATTACAAATTGTATTAAAAAATTACTTTGAAAATTTCCACGCTTAAAAAAATTTAATATGTAATCAACAACAAATAATGAAAAAAACTATAGTGTAGTCTTTTCAACACTCAAAGGAGAGTATAGGCGAATGATACAAAATATACATGTATTTAACATCTGCATTTTCTTGATTGTATTTAATGAAACATTTTGTGAATCATACACAGTGTACCTGGCAGAGTTAGGATAATCTGAATGAAAAGAAAATAAACTGAGTGACGTTTTTGGGTCTTCTTGCTGATTTGGTATGCCCTGTACATTATCTTGAAGTGACTTCAGTGAACTGAAGTTCGCCAAAATTCTTACCAGCATGTTATTGGAAAAATCTAAATTGTCGTTTAACTGTTTAAGAGGGTTAACATTTGCGTAAATGAATAAAATGTCTCCTTTAGATTGAACGTAAACAGCGAAGTCAATCTATGGATTCGATACAAGGTCGTGATTTAAATGATTAATTCTGTTGTTAATTCTGTAAGTCCCGGGGCTCTTATGAATTTCTTCTCTTCTTAAACCAAGGGATACTGTACCTTTCGCTAGTAGAAAGACGCTCGCTTCGTCATCGCGAGGTACCGGGTTCGATTCTCGATCCCGGTGCCCCGTTTAACTACATATTAGTAATTGCAAGATGTTCGCCAAAGCTCGGCACTATAAGTAAAAGTTACGGGTCTCTCAAACAGCACCTTAAAAACCCGAGATCCCTTAACACGGTAAGCTTTGGCGCGATAAAGAACCCTCACTACTCAATGACCCTGAGTGCCGAGTAAAGCCCAAGCTCTAGTTTGAAGACCATTAGAGATATTTGGTGACATCTCATATTAGAGAAAAATAATTGCTTTTGTAAAACAACAGTCAGATAAGAAGTCATGACATTTTTCTGTACATAATGATCGAGCACTCACTCTTTGAGAAGAGAAATATTGTACATAAAAACAATTTAAGGATAAATAACACAAACAAACTTTTTTCAGAAATCAGCATTATTTCTCATAGATTTACATTTAAATTGACAACCTGAATAATGTTTACCAAGTAGAGTGGGAGAATTTTATAAGATTTTGTCATAAAGTTAAAAAATTGTGCAAAATTTTGTATGGAATTATATAGAAGGCAAAATAAAATCTCAAATCTAAACACCAAGGACGATTTCTTTATATTTCAAGGATTTATTATTTACATCAATACAAATCAAAATTACATAAAATATATAAAACAATTTAAAACCAAAATTTTATTTCCTACTTCTTCATATATGTAAATATATATATACAATGTATATTAAAACAATATTTATACATGTTTTTTTTTCTTTTTTATATAAGATATCCTTAACTCAGGATCATAGGAAAACGTTAACTACCCGTTGGAACTTCCGAACACCTGAAATGATCAAACAGGTATTTAATTTTGAAAACTAAAAAAAAAAGTTAATGCACTTTAATGACAAAGTTTAGTATTTGTTAGTCATCAGGAATATTTGTCACATAACAAATTACATAACCATAATCTGTAAATGACATTTCAGATGTCAAAACATGCTTACTAGCTGTGCACGGTCATATCGATTGTCTTCGTGCGTTTAACCATTTGATTACTTCATTAATGCAGTTGTTTTGGTTGTAGGTAATGCACGGGCTGCAGGCTTTACGTTCCCTTTCCGAGTATCCTCTTGTAACGCAGGAAAAACTCTGTCAGGTCGCCTGGTACCAAACGTAAGTCCCCCCACTCCGATCTTAATGGAAAGGATACGTACATCCTCTCACAGGATTAAAAAAAAAATAATGTCCTACCACTTGCTAGCTGAAAAAATTCTACATTATATCAAAACTATCATAAATGAAGACAGACAGCCATTTTTTTTTATCATTTGTTTATGGGTACAAGTGAATGGAATTTCACGTGTAAATAAAAATATTTAAAAACAACAGGTGATTTACCAGCTGAAGTTTTATTTTCATCTGAAAAACATTGAATACAGTAAAAATAATTTATTGTCTCCTTTGTGGAAAATTCAAACATTATTTTTGTTCCAGCAAAACAAATCAACGTGTACCAAAATGTATTTGTTTTCCCCCCTGTTTTTGGAATGGAATTGTTTGTGTCTCTTGCATCAGTAACTTGGATTAGCGTTATCCGCTTAGATTAATTCGCTTCACCGACTTTTATTTTTAGTCTTGGTCCAAAGAAAGCAATAGTTCGCCAAGGTCACGACGCAGAATCATTTTACTTTATACTGGCTGGAACAGGTGAATTTTCATCAAGAAATCAATAATTACATTTATTTAAAAATAATTTATAAAAACGAATGACGATAACAATAAAAAACTTTCTCATTCATATATTTTGTTCTTATTAAGCCTTTGTCAAAAAGATGATGACAGACCCAAAGACGGGTGAAACACGTCTAAACACCGTGGCTCGCCTGACAAGAGGAATGAGTTTTGGGGTAAGATGATCCTGGTCACAGCACCATTTATTCAAGATTTTTCTATTTCGTTTTTGCAATTCAAATTTTAGAATTGAAAAGAAGACAACTCTGAGTCTTTAATTTCATAATATTTATGTGATGTTTCTGTGTAGTATTCGTGGGAAGATGGGGTAATGTATCACAGAGACTTAGTATGGAGGATTCTCTACAGTCAACTGCTCTTTACGACTTACTATTTATAGAAAATACACAGTTGTTCATGTTACTTCTTAAACATAGTCTATTAGATTGGTCTTCAACAAGTTTTCTTTTCAAAAGTAGACAATTTTCCAAACAGTTGAAGTCTTGTTTCTTTTCTACTTTTGACTTTTTATGTAGACCTATAGATATGAGGGATAAATCTAGCCTCCAATTTCATAATTAACTATTGTGTAGTTATTTTAACTGTTATTATCACATATAGTATAGAGTACAGGGCACACATAGATATGCTGTTAACTTGAACTTCATACAAATTTCTTTTATCCATTCGTTCTAAGAGTCCGTGGAGTATTTAATGCCTGTAGTTAAAAAAACCTTTATGTTGAGGAACTTACTTGTCCAGCGTTTCCTAACTTGAATCCTACTCATAATACTTGATATATTACAAGAAAGCTAAACTTTTTCTATCCTGACTTGAACTTTAAATTTCAGAAATACAAAAGAACTCTGTATCAAAGTTTTTCTCTCTTACCATTATTGAATATTTTTGACAGTGGAAATTTGAAATGGTATTAAAAAAGAATGTTTTTTTTACTTTAGGAGATAGGGTTGATTTTCAACACGAAGAGAACAGCCACCGTGGAGAGCGCCACCTCTATGGAACTGCTGGTCATAGGAAAAGACGACTTTAACAGGATCTTTATGAATGATAATGACGAAGAAGAATCAGAACATGTCAAATTTTTAAGGTAACCATACAAATGATTCACCATTGTACAGAAATCACAGTGATTCTTCAATTTTTGAAGATAAACCTACAATAGGTTGCACCCTAAGAAGAGAGGTCGTTTTCTAGTACATGTATTAAGATTTAGGAAAGATGAATATTCAATTGAGATAATCACTGAGACAATTAAAAAAATAATTTTGATCAAAATTTATTCAGTACTGTTTGCATTGATTTAGTATTATTAAAATGTCAAATTAAATTTGGTACATCAATAATATTTCTTTTCAAAATGTAGGCAGGTTCCCATTATGCAGAATTGGCCGATAGATTGTCTGAGAGAGGAACCAGGCACCTGTATACTTCATTACTTTAAGTTAGTTTCTGTATTTTAAACACTTAAAGTCCTGTTATTATCATTTCATTGAATTTATATACTAGTATGATCTACATAAACTTTGCAGGAGAGGTACATTGGTCTCCGACGATGGGAAGAAAAGTGAATGGTTATATTTCATTAAATCGGTTAGTATTAATTATTTCAATTTCATCCAAAATGAGTTTATTTAAACATTACTTTTTGTCAACCCATCCTTATTTCAAATTGCCTATGGTACGTTTCATTTTAGGGCTCTTGTGAGGTACTTAAAAAACTGAAGAGTGTTAAGGCAAGAAAATCTAGTCAAATAAAAAGGAAACCGGATCCGATCACAGAAATAGTTTTGCCGGAACTAGGAGGTGGACCAGGTAAAGTTATTGGCATTGATGTTAAATCTTTCTGGCTTCTATGAAATCTTTTAAGTTCTACATATGAAGGAAATGTATATTCAAACTTTTAGGCTAATAACTACGTATTAAACTCGATGAGTAGCTTTGACCTACCTTTTTTTTTTGTTTATTCTGTATCATTCAAAAGCATGAAATTAAGGTTTTTGACTAACACAGAGTCCAAGATTGACAGTGGACAAAGGAGAAGAAAACACAAGATTTACATGAATACGGATGTATTCCAGGATATGGCAAATTATTATGAAGCCTTAAGAAGGGTAAGTAACTACTGTACTACTTTGCTACTGTATATACATGTATGCCAGTGCAACATACATAAATGAGAGAGAGAGAGAGAGAGAGAGAGAGAGAGAGAGAGAGATTTATATTACATGTACATGTAAATATTTAAATCCATAACTTAGACTGTCACAATGCTGGTAAATTTGCTACTGATCACGTATTAGAATGTAGATTGATTGAAAAACTTTGAAAATGATATTAAAAGGGTTGTGCTTTATTTTGAGTGACACCTGTTATTTGTGCATGTAGAAATTAGCTAAAGAGGAAACTGACAAAACTTGTGAAGAGGAACTTCATCTTCCTCCTCTCTCCTCTAACCCCCACAGCAACCTCGTTACTGTTCCGGAAGCGGAAGTAGAGGAGGATTTAGAATCTCTTAATAACGCGAAAAAGGAATCTGATCTGCCAAATGGAACTACAGAGGATAAAATATTTTGCATTCCCCCTGTGGGCTGTAGAAGTCCGTTTTCAAATATATCTGAAAGTAGATTTATGGCAGGACCAAATATCCGATATCAAACACATTTTGTACGTATGCGTTCGGTCATATAATCCCCTTTCCACTTCCTGTCCTGCGTGAAACACATAATATTGATAACTACCTCTGACCTTTTGTACGAATATTTACTGACTTTGGAAATGGTGTTGGTGATTTGAGTTCTTTTTACACCATCCTCTACTAACTGTAATATTAACAATACAATATTTCATGAAATTGCTTTTAATTTTATGATTCAACTCTCAAGTTTATGCACACGTAGATAAAAGCTAACTAACATGAACTTGAACCAACATGTATTAACTTTTCACCTTCAGCTTATAGTATTTTCAGTATTTCTTCTACTACTAACATTAAAACGATCATATTTGTACGAAGATTTATTCTTAAAATTGTCCCTCAAATTAAAATACATTTTTGTACTGTTTCACATATTATGTGATATGTTGATTTTGTAAATGTACATTAATAGAACAATGTATGTGTAATTAGCCTACCTGTAAACTGCCATGCAATTGAAGAAAATAAATATTTTAAAAATCAAAATGCATAATACTGATATTATAGATTATGCCAACGTCTGCCATGTTGAAGAAAGAAGAACCTCCGAAAAAGAGAGAAGGATTGGAAGAGGATGATACTTCTAAAAATCACAACGTGTTTGTGAAACTCGCCCTTCTTCAAAGCAAAGATGTCTTTGTAAGTGTCTTTATTATTTGAATCTATCTTTTTATTTGATATTTATCTTTTATTTATGATTTATATGAATTATATGTATTGTGTATGATGTCCTTTTTAGGGTTTAGATACACTGACGGGATGGGGTAGTGAGGATCTGGATGATATGCTAAACGCATCTCCAGCAACTTGTTTGGTATGTTCACAAACATCAGTAATTATTTGTATGGTATGTTCTTTAACAGCGTCAGTAATCCTATTATTTATTATTTATCTCCTCCATCATATATTTTTTACAGAATGAAAATTAAATGATGATTTTTATTTGTTAGGTCAGCAAAGGAGCAGAGATAGTGATGCTTTCAAAGAAAGTGTTCCTCAAATACATAAATGACAATGTACGCAACAACCTGAGGGAGTCAATACGTGCTTACCCACGGGAACAAAAATTGCAGGAGAATTTTCAAAACAAACTGGACTGGGAAGACTACAAGAGCTCTCTTATCAGTAACGTACTACACAATCCCGCTGACACGTATGCTTCGTCAGTTCATGCCTAACACTGGCTGCTGGAGAATAGCGAAGGATAGATATTTAAATATTGCCATTATTGTGACTTCGAAAAGGAAACAGTTTTGAACAATTTTATTTATGCACAACAGCTCAAAGTAAAGTATAGGAAGGCAAATTGTGAGGGATTATTCAATTTCAATATCTTGTTTAGTGTTAACACACTTGTATACAACTTCATGAACCAGCATGAGTTGAATACAAGTGCCACATCAATCAAACATTAATATGCCATGATAAATAATTAAGTTTCAGGAATAAGGTACAAAATGATTTCAAATAATTCTCCCTCTGAGTCATTACACTAGTTTGTGATAAAGTTAAATAAATGAATCTTAAGAATTTTCAATATCCTTCAGTTACTTAGGTATTTGTTTTTAAACATTGATCATAGGATGGGAAAATACAGAATATTGAAATATTTTGTTCACATAAATTCTAATTTGATTATAAGAATATACATATAAATTAATATATAAAGTAAATGTTTTTCAGAAACACAAATTTCAAAATATGTTTTGTAGCCCACCTCATCATATAAATAAAATGAAACTGGACAATATACTTTGTTGTTTTTTTTTCACATTTCATGCCAAGGCGCTGCTTTTTCATAATTTTTTTTTATAAAAAGAAACCTCCAATAAGATTTCGATAGAGAAATCCCATTCATCTTCGGAAAAGATTTTGTGAATTCAGAACCTTTCACATATAGACCTCAGGAGACGGAGATTCGAGGGGAGGCCATTGTGCCAGCGGGACCAGAGATAGCTATTTTGGGCCCACTCTGTTTAGATAGTCCCCGTTTCTTTGCTTTCAGTCTTGCAATGGTTGCTGGACTCAGGGTTTCGGGCTCGCTGGGAACAGGTTGTAATTCGTCTTGTGTTTCAGAATTACCGTTTTCAGACATTGCATTCTCTTCCGTCTCAGATGGCACTTTGGTTGAAAATTTTCGGAATTTGAACTTCGGGATTTCTTTCGGGGGTCTTCTTACTTTATTTTCTGAAACGCCATTCCTAGATGGTTCCCTAGCATTTGTTCTCGATGTAGTTGACCGATTGCTCCCATCTGAACCAGAAGATTTTGAATCGGCAGAAAATTTTCTGAATTTGTTTTTAGGGATTTCGTTCGAGTTTTTTCTACCTTTGACTGTCTTATCTAATACATCATCCTTGGGTGATTCCTTGGCATTTGTTCTCGATGTTTCCTGCTGCGTATCTGTCTTGGCATCAGCTTCAGAACTGTTTTCCTGTCTTTGTTTATCGTTTGGTCGTTGATCCTTTTTAACTTCCTTCTGGATATCTCGACCGGTTCGCGGTGTTTCAGAATCATCTTTCTTATTTAAAGTACGCTGGATATCCCTACTAGTTTGTGGTGTTTCAGAATTGTCTTTCTTATTTAAAGTACGCTGGATATCCCGACCGGTTTGCGGTATTTCAGATTTGTCTATTTTATTTAATGTACGCTGGGTATCCCGACTTGTTTGTGGTGTTTCTTTTTTATTCAAGGTACGCTGGTTATCCCTACTAGTTTGCGGTGTTTCAGAATAGTCTTTTTTATTTAAAGTGCTCTGGGTTTCTCGACTTGTTTGCGGTGGTTCGGACTCTTCCTTTTTATCTACAGTACTTTTGGTATTTCGACTGGCTCGGGGTTGTCCAGAATCATCTTTTTTGTTGAATGAGCGCTGTGTATCTCGACTGGAAGGTGGTGGTCCAGAGTCGTCTCTTTTATTCAAAGTACCCCGTTTTCTGACTAATTCTTTTGTTGCTGGTTCCTCTGAAATTGAACCTTGCGATTCTTTATTTGGATTTGACCTAGGTATATTCGAAGACTTTCTTTTATCAGCTGTTTCTTCTTTCTGTGGTTCTGCGTCAGTTGCTTTCTTGTTTCGTGAGAAATCGCATTTTTTCCCTTGTTTACCCTTTTTGTTGTTTGATTTCACATCCTTCTTATGCCTCTCTGCCATCAGAGACAATTTTTCTGGAGGCTTGACTTTTTCATCGTCTTGGGCAAACGCCATCATCTTCTGTGTTCTAATCTGCTCTTGTCGTTTGGTTCTTGCCTCGTACTCTTTTTTATCAATTGACTAAAAAGGAATGATGGAGAAATTATTTTAATTCATCATCTATAAAAAAATAATAATTGAAACATCCAATTAAAAAGTTAATCACAAATACACATGTACAGAGTGTTTTGAAGATAAATGGAAAATCAAACAAACCTTGTATGTCAAAAGTTTAGTGAATTTTTGTGATCCAACCTCAAATCTTGCATTCAAAGTGACATCTGTTCCCTTTGGTCCGGTTAATGCGGTACCCTCCCATATATTTGAATCTTTCTTTTCAAGATGGCACCAGCCATTGCTAGTCACCATAGCAACATCTTGGGCCTCATCCTTGATCTGAAATGAAAAGCTGTATTCCTCTTTGGCACGGAGATACCCGGTTTTGGGTTCAAGAATTTTGACTTGTTTTTGAACCTCTACAGACCGTTCTGGATAGGGAGCCCACTGACTTGAAGGAATTTCCACATTTATGAGTCCAAAATAAAGCATAGTACTCTCCACTACATCTATACTATATTTTGTTTGAACAGACAAGAGATATAATCCATCTCTAAGAGGATTGATAGATACTGACAATTTGCCGTCGTCTTCTAGAAACCAAGCCATATAAGAGTCTGTATTATAAAGTTTATCGGAAACATACTTCAAAGACGGAAAAATGATTGATTCAGACGAATCCATGGTAAATTGTAGGGTAGATTCTTCAGCCATTGCAAAAACGCAAGGATTTGGGAAAAGTGGCATAAAATTAAGAAGTTCGCCCGCCTCCGTAACACCAAGTTTGGTCATGCTTGGTGGAAACCCCATTATCGGTTTCGCCTCTTTATTATTACCAATGAAATGTACCCGATAATTACAAATTGTTTTCAATGAATCGTCGTCTTCATTTTTTGTGAATATCTCCAAAGCACATTTTTGGAAGCCTGGACATGTAACCTTTATGTTAAACTTTTTCCCATAAACCCAGTAAGCAATATGGCGGGAAAGATCACGACCGTCTTTATCTACTAAAGTACAGTGAAGATTTAAATCATTTTGTAAATCGAACACAATATCCAGAAACTCCTTTCCACATTCGATTTCGCTTGTGACATGCGAAACAGGAACAAGACCAGCATCGAGGGTATCATCCGCAGGTCCCCAATGTTGACGGGCATTTACAAAAACCGCATCGAATGCATCCACATTTGGTTTGGTAATTTCTAGACAGTAAGTACACAAATACAAGAAGTCTCGGCATTCACTGCCTAAATCTTTGAAGTATATGTGGAGAAAGTATGTTCCCTTCTGCCTTACGAAAACCTCGACTGAAAGAGATTTCCCATCAAAGTCAGATTCAATACAAACGTAAGGTGGATTCTTGGGAGGGTTGGGTACAATCGAGGTAGTAAAAATAAACATTCTGTCCGAAGGGTATGTGAAGGTCAAAATAAGATAATTGCCATTGCACTTCACGTTGTATGTCACTTTTGACTGAAGGTCGAATCCATAATGAAAGAAGAATGGAGACACACATACCATGTTGTACCATTCTGATTCCAGGACGGGTCTACACAGCAACTGCCAGTATTCTTCGTCTGGTAGATGTGTATGAACAAAGAATGTCGGGTCTGGGAGGCTGTAGTACTCGCCAATCTTTGCCCGCATTGTTCTCAGCCAAGATTTCTCGTTTTCTGGTTCCGTCTTTTCATCATTCATTTTCCTTATTTCCTTCAATCCGGGTAGACTGGGGTCCACAAATTGCCAGTGACCATTTACAAGTACAGCGCACCAAACGGCTTTGACTGCTCGCTTTCCTGGTTTTGAACTAGGTTCTCTTTGATAAAGCTTTCTTCTACCCTCAATGACAGCACATTCGATGTTTAATATTCTAGAAGGTTAGATAAGATTTCAAAAAATAAAATTACATAACGTACCGGGTAATATAATGTCATGTTGTAAATTTTGAATTTACCGGGTGGCGGTAAATACCAAAATTTACAACATGACTACTACCCGGTAAATTCAAAATTAGGAACATGACAATAGTGTTAAATACGCTTTCAAATTAATTCCATGAAGAAATTATGTCTTTCTAGTTAGTTTGAAAGATGTAACATACTTGCAAAATTTGTAAAAGAGATGCACTTGAGCATTTCCTGCAAAATCGGACTTTCCGCTTTTGCCCAGTGGTGGAATTTTATGAGAATGTTGTGACATCCACTTCGCAATTATTCGAACTTTTACTTCATCATCATGTACCACATTTTTCATGTTCTTTATCAATTTCATTACAGCCCCGAAACTCTTTGATTCCTGTTGGATTGAGATAAATTAATACTATAAAAGATGTTCTTTTTTAAAATTAAAAGTATGAATCAGAATAAAAATATGTAATTACTTAATGTGTAAAGTTTTTCGAACAAACGAAAAAAGTATCACCTTCAGTTTCAAAGTACTTTCGATAATTTTAAAGGGTTCAAGATCCGGAGGCTTCATTAAGAACCGTGGAAATGGGAGAGGATACCCACGTTGAGTCTTTGGTGCCGGTATATTAAAGTGTCTGACGGCCTTTTGTGCTCTTTTTAGAACATCGGGGGTCGGAACAGCTTTATAAAACCCCCACTTGGTCACAAACTCTCTAATGGGTTTTAAATGTCCAGTGGCTAGATTGAAATCAAAAGTCATGGTTTCGTAGGGTTTGGCGAAGAATTCGGACATCTCAGCAGAAAGTGTTATGTCAAATTTCTCGTCTTCGTCGTCGTCGTCCTCCGCAACATAAGCTACTGTTTCAACCTTTGGAGGTTGCGTAAGAGGAAATGATTCTTCGTCTTCGAAACCAGGTTTATCATACACGGCCTCTAAAGCAGTTTTTGGTATCCATTTTTCCGTTACCTGTTCGTCTTCCTCTTCCACCACTTCTTCTTGTTCATCCTGTACCTCTTGTGGTTGTTCTGTTTCCCCCTCCACCTTGGTTCCTTTGTCCTCGATGTTCTCTTCCGTGTGGGGTTCCTCTTGGTTTTCATCAGGTATTTCATGAATATCTTGCGATTGCATATTCTCGGTGAAGTCTGTCTGTTCTTCGTATATGTTTCGGGTTTCATGGGATTCCACAGTGATATCGTTTTGTCCCATTTCCACCTCCACGTGTTCTTCCTCAACTTCTGTGAGTTCTTGCTCTATGACAACTTCCTCCTCTTCGAGCTCTTGTTCCATGATTACTTCTTCGTCTACTGGTTCTGGCTCAGTGATAATTTCTCCCTCTTCCTCAATGCCATTCTCCTGAAGTTCGTCAACTTCAGGAGTTTCTTCTGTCACTGTGTTAAAAATAAAAATCTCGCTTTCTTTGCCTTTTGACTGATCTGTTTCGAAAGACGTTTCGTCATCTTTGAGAAGGGTGATTGGTGGAGGGACGTTACAGAACTCCGAATTGGTTTGTGATCGGAAAAAATCATGCTGCGGCTCTTCGTTGATATCTTCACTGACTGTCTGAACGTTGATATCTGGTTCTGGCTCGGGTGTGATTGAATATTGTTCCTAAATTTAAAATAAATTATATCCATTTTACTTTCCAGTCAATTCCTAACAACTCTAAACATGAATTTAAGTTATTCAAAATAGAAAAAGTGGAAAGAACAAAAAAAGTAGGGAATGTTCGTATATTTTAGAATCTCTTTGGCACGTATATTCATTGAATTTCTCAGTCTATCCCTTGCAATTCTAAGCATATAAGTTATATGAACTTTAAAATATGTATTTAAAAAAATCCAATCACTCCTTTTGATAAAAATATCACGTGTTCAATAGAACAGAACTGACGTGTATGGAGAAGTCATATTGAGAGATTACGAATTGATTTGAAAATATTGTATTTATTTAGAAAGCAAATTGAGAATTGACAAATTACATTGAGACCTACCATTTAGATTGAAGCCATTTACAATTTTTAATATTTGAGTAAAGTTTTAGAGACAATCAACAAGTTTTAATAGCGCTAAAAATAAACGCGCTAATCGAATAAAAAGTTTCGAAATAACCCTAATCATAATATACTCACGCTTTCTCGAAGTGTGCTACCCGAGTCTGGTGATTTCGAATTACTGGATCCCATATTCCGTCTATGGCATCTTCTTATTTTTTATAACAGTGATGTATATTCTAATCCATTAGACAGAAGTATATTCTTATTTAACAACACTGATGTATATATTCTAAATCTTTACATTGACATTCCGTACGTGTGACATTGTGTGACACAGTTATACACGGGTTTCTGTGTAGTTTTATGACGGCTCTGTTTCAGATGACAATACGTTGGTCTTTAATGCCACTTATCTGATCCGAACACTCGGAGAAGGACCTTGATTGGGCTTAAATTGTTTTAATCCTCAATGGCCTGTAAAGATTATCAGATGCTGACAGAATTAATTTTCTTGGTGCACGGAACCACAACAAAGCCAGATAGTGAGGGACCGCCTAATTAACCTCTTCCTTTGTCCAATATAAATGTTGGCTTTATATGTGCAATCTTAAACCCCGGCCCAAAATATCCAAAAATGTTCCTCTCTACATACCATGCCTTATGAGTTATATCATTATTATTATTAAATATCTCTTTGATTCTTTTAAAACTATGTATAAAGGGTTTCCATGTTGACCTTTATTTGATTATCGATATTGACTATCGTTGCACTGTTCAGTATCACACAAACATAAATAATCAGACATGTGACGTAATAAGGGTTTAATAAGTAAAATCTGAAATACATGTATATATGTTGTGGTGGGAGGATGGGGGTGAGGTGGAGTTAGGAAGTTAGAATCTTTCATTACCAAAACCATTTGTGATGTTTTTGATCTATTTCATCAAACGTTTTAGTGACCTTAATTAGAATCATAATGGAATAACCTGACACCCCTTTCTAACAGGTTGGGCACACACCCCCAAATGGTCATTAAACCCCCGTTTGGTGGTCAATCGCCCATATCGGCGTCTTTATTACCTACCAAATGGGAGAGAAAAATCGTTTTGTTCAGTTATCTGGAATAAAATGAAATGGCGCATAATTTCAACTCACGGGGAATAAAATATAGATATTTTTCTAAACTTTGAACGAAAAAAATCAGAATTTCAACGCGGATTTTTTTGCGCAGTGTCGTTCAAATATTTGACAAAATCGTCACCTATGTAAACAAGAGTAACTTTTCTGTGTTTTAACTTAAAAAGAAAAATCCCCTCCATCTCGCGCGTAGTTGAGCCTATCAATCGTGTTTATCACTTCATATTTCTGTCATCCGGGTAACCGATCAATTATCTTAACCAATTAAAAATGACGATCTTTTCCGAACTTGGGTCAAAAGACTGATTTCACTACGGAGGCCCATTAGTGTAAATTTTCAAAAAGTAAAATACGATGAAAGGTAAGAATTCTCTTTTATATCGTTTATTTCGTATGTTATGGCTTTACTTTTTACAAAAATACGACATGCCGTGAATTTTTGATAAAATAATCGCTCAAAAACTCTAATCTTGGAATAGAAATAAGAATAATTGCAAATGTCACTTTGTAAATTTTTTATTCAAAAATTTTTAATAGATATAGTAGATACATCATAGATATGCATATGAAACCACAAAGGGTCGCACAGAAATCGTAACTTCATCCTAAAAGAAATAAAAAATAAATGTTACATTCAAATGTAGAAAAAGGAATATTATAGCAGTAAGTGCCCACCATACGAATACAATACGAGGAGCTCGTGTTTAACGGGATTTTATAGAGATTTATACAGACACAGATCGAAAGATCGTTTGAAAAGTTACTTGTCTAGACTAACACCTCTTGTTTAAATATATTTTTTACCAAACTATACACAACAAAATACTTTTTCGTACTGTTTGAGCAAATAGTTCGGCCGTCACGCACAACTGTGGGTTTTGTTTTTACGAAGTTCCAAAGAAATTCCACATGGAAAATTGACTTAATTGCATTAAATGTACGAGGAATATGTTAATAAAAATTCTCCAATGCCTAAGTAAATGCGCTTTTGCTTTATTTTGATAAAAATTAGATTTGAATAAAAAAGACGCCGATATGGGCGACTGACCACCAAACGGGGGTTAAATGACCATTTGGGGGTGTGTGCCCAACCTGTTCTAATATACTGTCTCACTAGTAACAAGAATAGATATGGGTTACCCCATATCCAAAGATATTCGACTGTTAGATTTAATATGTTTAACAGTGTTTATAATGACGTTAATAAAAAAAAAACTGCACTGTCTAATTATGGAACTGTTGTAAATATCGTGATTCTATAGCATTACGGTCACCCAGTCTCCTAACAAACAGTACACATAGGCCTACATGTACCTGTAGCCTTGGTCTACACACGTGCAATGGAGCTGTCACACGCATCCAGCGAGCTCGGAGAAACACGTTTTGTTTTGCCGAGAAGTTACGGTGTCAGACAAAACTTTTCTTTTCTTAATTAGATCATATAAATACGAATTCTGATTAATAAAAATTATACAATTATACAATCCCAGTTGAACTTTATATAGTTTGTTCTAACATTTGCATCTGCAACAACTTGTGTTTAAAATGGCCGGGTTGGGAAAATCAGGACCGGGTCGGAAAATTCTAAACTGAAAACATGGAAAACCTTTTTTGTTTTGAAAATAACTGAAATATACTAATATACTTGTCGCAGAAATTACTTACATTATTCAAGCTCTATATATAATGGTATGCTGAACTTCAACACGAACCCGAATCTCCAACCCATGCAGTTCTCGTTTTGCCACACATACTCTACAGTTTACAAAGTGTACACACGAGCAGGCCAGGGATTGAAAATTCCGTCATTTAATAATACACACACACAGAATGATTAATTTTTTCTTTAAGAACAAATTGTATGATAATTAACGGACTATAAACATGTACTTAATACAATTGTTGATATAGTAGAGGGCGGAGCCCTCTCACGGGCCCGAAGGGCCCGTGAGAGCGAAGCTCTCCCTATAGGTAACACGTATGTATATGAAAAATAAAAGAAATCTATTGTAAACTATATGTCATTTACAATACCTATGGAACTGAGATTCTTGTCGCCAATATGGCGTCTTCGCTAAAATGGCGTCGATTCTATCCACGCGCAAATTCTCATTGTTGATGAGACTTTCATCAAAGTAAAAAACATTTAATCCAAGGATAATGTGTAGTAATTCTTTTTTACTTAAAATCAAATCCATTAGTAATCAGGCCCTTCCTACTTTCGTTTTAGACGTTTGGATTTATTCATAGTTCGCGCTAACAAGTAAAACGGCATTTGATTGGTTAGAATTTCCCTAAAGGCGGCGCTGTCGTCTGCACTATGGAGGAGCGGATCTATCTGTGGCCCCTTTCACAAGAATATCCGTGTTTATTTGTTAAATAAAATTTGCCAATAATAAATGTCTTCAGGATTATACGTGTCAATACATACCAAGCTAGAAATATAGGATTTTTTTTAACAGTATAATTTTTTGAACAGTTAAAAATGTTTTAAAAGTGATAAAATAAAATACCATGTGAAAAGTCTCACAGGGGGGCTCAATAAGAGTGTGTGGATTTCTTTTTTTCTTTTCCTTTTTTTTTTTAAGGTATCCAAATTATTTATGAATATCTACTTGTACATGGATACATAAATATTTAGCAAATCTATGGAAGTCTGAATCTCATTTTTGTTGTGATTTTTTTTTTAAATTTAATATTTTGTTAACTTTTATAAAGTTTTTCAAATGACAAAATTTCAGTTTCTTATAAAGATCACTATCAAAAGAAAAATCTAATAGATACGATGTATGAATTAAAAAAATTCAAAAAGATTTTTTTTGACAATTGCAATTACATATAAAGTCTAAATTAAAGCAGGAAAAAATAAGTTAAACAATGTATAATGTACAGTTTGGAGAGGTAGTTGTTCAGTCTACATACATCTTTCAGTAAATGCATGAAAATATCCACAAAGTTATACGACTTCAAAGTGCAGTGCATGCTGTTAATGTATACATACCTATATGTACACTACAATACTCAAATTTAATACACATCAAGCATATTAATTAATATAGTTTTCAATCCTAATAAATGTGCTTATCTATTAAAAACATGAAGCAAATATTCAAAATCTTTGTTTGACATCGATAAAATATTCTATTCATAACTTCTCAAAAGTCATCTTCTCTAGCCAAGGGTGACGATCCACGGTGTTTCTCTATTCAAGAATATGCTCAGAAGTGTACCCTATTATTATATTATTCACAAGTGCTGGTTTTGAAATTATATAATTAACTATTAATGACAAGGGTACCAGAAAAAACTTTTAATTTTAAAGTTTTTCCCCCAGATATATAACCGTTTTCAATACAATGATGTTAGATTTAGAAGATTCTAAAGGCTATTTAAATCATATTTGTTTTGTTTTTTTTAAATTGAAAGGTGAACTATACATTTTTCATTAAAATAAAGAAAACAATAATTATATTTTATGGGTTTCCAATAATGTAAAATAAAAAGAAATAAATAAAAAGAAAAAAAGCCATGTCACAACAGGCACGTAGTATTAAATGTCCCTGATCATGCATCCTTTAGTTTGCAAATTTTTTCTCATAAAAGGTGTGATGCTTCTATATTTTCAATCCTTGTGATAGTAACTCAGTCAAATGTTGGTCTGATGATTAGATTCATCCAGGAAGTAGATCATCTGTCTGTAGTTTGGGTCCCAAGTTCGCCTTCTGATCTTGTCTTGACAATAATATTGTTCTTACTTTAGATGACATCATAACCATGTAATGGGAGTAATAAAAGTTGAGAAATGACTTGAGGTTTCTAGATAAGTGTACAGTTGTTAAATAAGCGTATAAATCAAGTAGTGAAAGAAAAAGAATTGGTGCTCAGAAAAAAGTTTATGAATTGATTATTTTTTTTGAATTATTATTTGTTGGATATACTAGCATTTTGGAACGAGTTTACTGTTACGTGTATAACTATTAAAGTTTAAGGTGTCGTTGGACCGAGGTGTCTCACATTTCTTTGGCCCGGTATGTTGAACCCATTACTGGTCCAATGGCCCAATGCATGACCCTCTTTTTTCCCACGACGTTCTTCAACTTTAAGTGCTCTGGCTAGACAACCATTCATCTCATGATGAAATACTCAGTATTATTTGAATGAAAAGTAATGAGGTATACATGTAAGAGATGGGAAAACTTTTTTTTCAAGAGAACTGAGTTCTTTGTTATGATTTTCTGACACTGACCATAGATCTGCATGAAGCGAACCCTTTGCTTTAGGTCTAACGTTATGCATTGACAATTTCAGAATATAAGTGATCAACTGATTTATCATTAAACAATAAAATGTAGCAATTTTCTCTTTACGGCTCCGCCCTCACTAACGGTCACACCGTCTAACATATTATTATCAATTCATTGGTGAAAAGATATGAATCGAAGAATGACCTAATTATTCTCTGTTATTAAACACGTAAAAAAAAAAGGCTGAGGAGGGAGCGAGCGTAGGAATATTGATATTTTTTATTTGCATTTCGGGGGGAAAGTGACTTTCTAATGATATTTTGACGTTATTTTTGATTTCTTTAACGTATGACATACACAACTTTACTCTTATCATGAACAATAATGTTGTATCTACTTATCATGATGGAATTATTTTGGTCGGACCAATATGTGTGAGCTGCCGCTGAATACAGTTATATATCTTGCAAAGATAGTATGCATTGATCGAATATATAGAAAAGTAAGAATCACTTAGAGGCTGTGTCATTCCTGTTACAGCGGAGTAGAGAGTAGGTAATAATTTCTTGAGTGTATAAACTTCTTGACTCATAAAGTTGATCAGTGGCCCGAATAGAGGCGAAGCTGTTGCAGTTGTTTGAGATAGTTTGGCAAGTCATAAGCAAGAGGTTTGACAATTTGTTAGGAAGAACATAGGCGTCGGAACCGGGGGGGGGGGGGGGCTCAAGTCCCCCCCCCCCTCCATTTTTTTTTTTTTGCAAAGATAGACAATTTGCTTCCGACGCCTATGTTAGGTACCAGGGTTAGGGGCCCGAATAGAGCCGACCTGCCCTTGGTGTTTGTGTATCTATTTTATTAAAAGTATTAACAGCTGTAATTATCTTGTTGTATTTTGATTCTTTCTTGATTTATACCCAAGGCAAGGATACTTAATAAATAATATAATCTAATTAGTGATTGAGAAAAATTGTTTGTCATTTTATTATTTTTAAACAAAGTAAGCGTTAAGAACTCATATTACTCATTCATACACTACTAAATGCAAATCAGTCCAACACATTTCATGTTGTTCACTTGCTTCTTATAATCAATCTTAAAAATCTAATATCCATCCAATCTAAAAGACTTTGGGCAGTTGTTATGAACCATGTGTAAATTGATTTTAAAAGTATGTACATGTACAAAGAATATGCTGAATATTACAATTATATCACATTTTAATTACACATATATTATAATTATATCCGGAATATAATGCAGAACTATTCGCATGCTATGTTTTTCCTTCGCACTCTTTTAAGCGTTTTAAAGGTAGAGCTTACAACCTCCGGCAATAAAGCTCAACTTAAACCACGAGCACCTTGTTGTGTGGCATGAACGATCCGTGAAATGAAATTGAAGGAGAGTTTGCTGTTAATCGTCTACATTGTTATCTGGACGGATAAATACAGGTAATTTTACTCGGAAAAATGGCTTCTTGAATCAGTACATAATTATATGTAAAATGTTGAAGGTACAACAGCCTTGTCAATCAGCAGCTGATCAGTGCAGTCATTTTTTTTTTAGGAAGAACATAATATTTATTTAATTGAGGGGAGTTTATTTATGGTAAAAATACAATTTGATAAAAAAAAACTTCAGTTGAGTATGTTGAGTGGTAAATTTATGCATAGTTGCATTTATTTTTTTAACAGTCATGAAGTTGATTTCCATTTAAAATATTTAAATTAATCATGTTAATTGTGTAAGTTATAAATGCATCAGTAAATATGCATTTGATCACTTAATAAAAGACAAGAACCTGGACTGCATATTCTCTACATTATCTTATCTTCTCCCCTAAAAAATCAGAAAAAGATTGCTTTTTATTGAGATTTCAGTCCAACAGTTTGTTTGTTTATATTTTGCCCAATTGTTTTCATAATATAAAATAATCCTCAGGGGTGTCAAAAGATGTACAATGCTTTCTTCAGGCTATAAAATAAATTATGAACTCCATAAGTGCCAGCTTGTTTCCAACAAGCCTAATTTTACAAATATGTTCACCATGGTAAATGTGTAAATCAAGTAATTCCAAACTATAAAGTTAAATACTTAATAAGAGTTCCCAATTTGAAATAAAATACTGCATTAGTAGTTAAGTATTAGAATGTACTGATTAAGATTGAGTCATGTATTGTCTTTTTCAGTGTATGATCAACTGTTACTGATTTATGCTCTCCATATTGGCCATGGTGAAAGATAATTTTGTGCAGACATTTCTGGAGTCCCGCCTGACCACTCTTCATAACACCAGTGCTCCCTCCGTGACAAATTACAAACTTAAGGTCATCTCCTTCATTGTTGCAGCATTCCTCATTTCCCTTCTACCCATTCTCCACATTGGTAAGAAAAGTTTAAGAATGAAAGTAAATCTTTATTAACACCTTTTAGAAGCATATATACAGTGTTTATAAAAAATGTTTTACACTGCAGGTATTATTAGTAAGGGGTTAGTAGGGCTTGTGGTTTCACTTGCAACACGTGCAACACATTGCATTTGAAGAATATTTATATAAATGAACAACAAATCAACTATATATCTTCTTATTCAAAGGTTTAATAGTTTGAAAATGGTATGATAGATAATTAGATATATAAATCTACATGAATGTGAATTTTATATGAGAGTAATAGCATATTGCATACTTATCAAAATATGATGAAGTCATTGAAAGCCAAAAAAAATATACAAGAGCAATTTAATTTTCCAGGTGTGTTTTATGCTCAGATCTGGGTTCCACAGAAAGGTTACATTGATAGAAGAACCTGTAGAAATACCTGTTTTGATACTATCTTTAGAGGTAAAAATCTAATATGACTCCAATCTCTCAAATTAGAAATATTACAGCATTGAACGAATGGTCCAAACTTTGCATAAATGCATGCATATTGTTATCTTCTTTTCCTATAGGTTCATATGAAAACCCAGGAGAAACTACCTATAAGCATGTATATTTCAATGCCACCTGGCAAACCTCTCGTATTTGGATATTCACCGTGATATTTATCCTGCTGGCGTATGAAAGCATTAAATACCTCATTCCCCTAGTGAGGCGGCGAGGTTTACGTGGCAGTATGTTTGCCCTGTACCTGATTAATTTGTATCCTCACTACTACTCCTGGTGGTCATACTTCAGCTATTACAATGAAGACTTCTATAACTATTTCAAACATCACTTCATGTTCACTGTGACTGAAATCATTGCCACCTGTATTGTGTTGAACCTTTGTGACAGAAGAAATGAGGTCAAGTCCTGGAAGGTGCTAGCCATTGTTAGCATTAATTTGATGCACATTTTAGTTAGTGGTGTAGATCAGTTTGTCAGTCATGTGATTCAGGGGAAGGGCACCAGTTTTCAGAACGCCCGGGACATAGGACTGATGATTCCAGATTCTCTCCATGTTATCATTCCACTGTGGCAGCTGATGAAATCAGCCAAGGATAAAGAGGTCAGAATTAAAGATTTATGCAGCAGAGAAGAAATTATCATGTGTATTGTTTTTATTTCTTTGTTTACACTTCTTGGTAGAGTTATGTAAAACCAAGTCTTTTGCTACATCAGTATCAAAATTTCAGTTTGTCATAGGCAATAAAAGTATCAAATGTAGAAAAATTAGCCAAGGTGTATTTTTGAATATGGTAAAATTTGACTACATAAATAGGATTGTGATGTGATAAAAAACTATATTGTTTCTACATTATTCCTTGAATTTTTATAAACAAAATATCATTATCTATATATTTTTTAATCACAAAGCTATGTGCCATTACATGTATATTATGTATATTATTGACTAGGTTGTTATAAATGGCACTGTACTCCTTTTTGTCATATATTAATATATGCCTAGAATATAATAAGAGTGTATATTTTGATTATAAATTTTTGCAATTGAAAGTGCAATGTTTTGATGCAAGCTATAATTATTAATATACTAAGTATACTTTGTTACATGTACAGTCCATTGGCAATTGCATTCCGTATTAAATGTATTTATAATCTATAAAATAAGAATTGTTACTTCTTATATATTATACAAGAGTTATTCTTCTTGGTAAGGTTTTTATGCAGGTGGTTTTAAGAGTTGCTTATTCAGATTTTGTATTCAAGAAATAAAATTTATATGTAGATACAGGAGCTTTTTCTTATTTATCTTTTTTTGGTGAAAGTTTGAAACATTAAATGGCAAAATTGAAATTGAAAGTGATGGAGACTGGTAGATGAGTTATGTACAATGCAGGTGTCAATCCATTATATCTTTGCAGAACTGTAACAAAGGTTATAGTCGTTATTTCATGATTTGCAAAAATATAATGTTAAAACTTTTAACAATCTGACTGTACACACAGGTACTCTGAAATTGTTATTTAATATTGCTTGAGTTTCTCAATTCTGATTGATTTAGTTTCTGAAGATCCTTTTGATACAATCTTTCAGAGTTCCAGTAGGTATCAATTACCTTGATACAACTTCCCTTATGCAGCAATATACCCTTATCACCTGAATATATGGTAAGCCTCCCAATTGATTCGATAATCAAGAGCTTGCTGTACGTACGAAAAGTTTTATGATCAATACTATGACCTTGTCATCAAATACACACTGACGTTTTTCATACTAATTGTTAGGCCATTATTTACACACTGAATTATCTACGAAATTTACCGTATTCCCGATCCTGACAAGAAGCACACGGTGGGTAACCAGTCGACAGGGGTAGCTTACCTCTCTATGGATCTTGATCATGCCTTTCGTGTTTGTGCTCTGTTCTCGATTTGTATTTTCTATGGACTTCTGAGCTTCACTACCGTTCGTTATTTCCGTATTTCATTGTCTAACAAGTTTTTTTTTTATCAGGTTTTGGTATATTGGCATGTGTTACGTCTTTGGTTAACAAGAACAAAATTCATATTCATAGCAGTAAAACTTTATCTTACTATATAATGAATTCTCGGTGTCAAAACCACATACAAGTATCAAAATTGCTTGCAAAATCTGTGAAAATTTATATTATTATGATGATAATGCGATTCCTCAGCTACTTCTTTGTGTGTGACCGCTACAGTATCAAGTTTAAAAAATTGAGATGATAGGCCTTATTCTGATTCACAGATCAAGATAATGAGGTCGATAAATTCTAGATTGGTTGATGAAGCCCAAGGACCATCCTCTATCATCATCAGTTAAAATGCAGATCATAAACTGGAATTAAATTATTTGATTTTTTTATTTTTTCCTTTCAAATTTCTCAAAGAGTGGGTCGGTTTCATCCCGTAGGACACTGTGACAGTAGAATTAATAAGTTAACTACGATTGTTAGAATTGTAGATCTAGAATTAGTTACTACAATCTACAATAATTTTATTGTTAAGGCGCACGGTATTCACTGTTCAGTCCTTATAGCGTTGCTTATCAATATTTAACTGTTTTGAAGTCTGATTTATACAGTACTGGTCTTATCCCTGGATCATTGCGTTCAATTCATCAGTTCATCGACACTAGTAATAATGCATTAAAACAAACGTGCGGTTTATTGACAAATAAATACCCAGCACTACCCCGCCCGCAATTCAGTTCAGATCTCTTAATGGATGACGGAATAGTTCACCTGAAATAATAACTACGGAACTGATGTCGTGCGGTGTTACCTGTTTAAAAAGACATTTTCTTAAAACAATAAACAATTGATGAATAAAAAACAAATAACTGCCTAGATTTAAATGCCGATAATGCACACAAAAATTAAAAACATATCCGCTTTTGGCGATGCAATTCAGTTGTATATGCAGCATACCAATACATTGAGTGAATTTGGTGTAACATTTTGCCAGTTGCCTGATAATGGACACAGTGAGGTCTGTGGATTGTCGTCTGTCTCAGATGGCGGCGAGGGGATGTAAGGATTTCACCCTACATCTCTGTTTTATTGACAGTCTCAGCAAGCCGGGGTCCCGTTGTCGGACAGAACCCATCTTTTCGCGTGAGGTGCTTTCCTGTAAAAAAGCCAGGTAAGTCAGATATGAACCAATATAATTTTATACGACATATATGTATGCTGATGTAAAAAATACGAAGTGGTTGGTACTGTGGAGTTCTGTGGTAAATTATAAGCATGTGTTTGTACAAACAGTATGACAGTTGTCAAAGTTTTGTTAACTGTATATTGTAAATATTAAACTAAACGTGCGTTCATAGATTCATATATGAGCAGTTAAAATGCAGCTTTATTGATGCAAAGAAAACAAGAATTCTGAGAGTTGAGTAATACTAGTCCCCCATCGGTAAGTGTAATCTCGTTCCTGTTTATATTTGAAAATGTCATCAATTCCGACAAAAATCAATGAAGCAGAACGAAATGCAAACTTCATCTTTTACTCATCACTGTAAATATTCACATACCAATAATTTTCAAGTGTTTAAAAAATCTTGAAAAATTGAAGAAGTCGTAATTCCGTCAAAAATCATTATAGCGGAACAGTGGAACGAAATGCAAACTTGATCTGTAACTTACAAAAATACACTCACATACCAAAAATCAGATCAAGGTCTGTCAGCGTTTACAGAAAAAAAGTGCAGAAAACTAAGTGGGACAGCTAGACAAACACGTCAGACAGACAGACAGACAGAGGAACAGATACCGGTTTTACCGGTAGGGGGCTAATTATGGCATAAATAAGATCATGCAAATAATTACAATGTAGTAATTATGTTCCCCAAACGAAGTTGGGGAACATATTGTTTTTACTCTGTTTCTTATTATTATTATTATTATTTTTCTTCTTCCTGGGAAAATCTTTTCCGCGAATGATCTTGTAAACAACACGTCCGACTTAGGTGAAACCTTTTTAGGGTCAGTAGGCATGTTATGTAGATTTGCGGAACGAAGGTCATTTTGCGTGCACGTGCTTGCAAGAGCGCGCACGTGCAACACGTGAAATGACCAAAATAATAGATATAGCCGTAACTTTTCTACTTTTTGATTATATGCTTTGGTACTTATAATATAAGTATATATTAGTAGTATAGACGTAATGACATGCTCAAAATAGCAAGATCTCACGCGCATGCACGTGTGCTTCGCTCTGATTGGCTGAAAGTAAAGTCTCAATATCTTCCTTGTTTTACGTCATAATCCTTCGAAATTTTGAACTTAGTCACACAATATGAAGATCTACAGGATGATATATAATAATTTTCATGAAAGCAAGTACATGCGCATGTGCTGGCAAGAGCGCGCACGTGCAACATGTGAAATTACCAATATAATGGACGAAGCCGTAACTTTTCTATTTCTTGATGGAATTTTTTGAAACTCACAATGCATGAATATATTAGTAGTATAGACAAGATGACATGGTCAAAATTTCAAGATCTCACGCGCATACACGTCCGCTTTGCTCTGATTGGCTGAAACTAAAGTCTCAATATCTTTCTTGTTTTTCAACAAAATCCTATGAAATTTTGAATATAGCCATGCATTAAGATATCCTACAACATGATTTATAGCAATTATCATGAGAGCTCGTGCATGCAGGTGTGCTGCAATCTGATTGGCTTAAACTTTAAATAGCTATAACTCCCTTGGTTTTCAACCAAACAGGATGGGATTTGGAACATAGATAGATATAATAAACTTCTACAAGAAGGTATGGTCACCATGCACATGCATACACGTGCATGTACGAACGCTGCAATCTGATTGGCTGAAACTTTAAACAGCTATATTTCCCTTGGTTTTCAACCAAACGGGGTGGGATTTAGAACATAGATAGATGTAATGGACTTCTACAAGAAGATATGGTCACCATGCTCATGTATGCACATGCGTGCACGTGAAATGAGATAAATCAAAGATACACTTGAAAGAGCGTATTTTTTAATACTTTTGGATTAAATACTTTAATATTTAATTTATAAAAAAATATATAGATAGTGTAGACAAGATGATGTGGTCATTACGCACATGCATTCACATGCGCACGCATGCAATGCTAAAATTTGAATGAACTTGGCGTTGTTAAAGTCTCAAATGCATAGATTTTGTCCTATTTAATGAAACTTACAGGGAATATGGCACCAAAAGGGAGTTGGGGAGCGTTTGGGGAACATCTGTAACGGTCCCCGTTACAATTAGCACTAGTTCATTAATAATTTGGTTATTTGTTGTCACTGAGCATTTGGCGAACAAAAGTTTTTAAACACCTCAACTCTCCTATCCTCTTCGTGCCCGCTGGGACATAAAAAAGGCCCCAATACACTGTCTCTACCTGCCTCTGTCTTTGGCTGCTGCCCTCGTTGACGTCCAATTATTCCATCCAAGCTGTAATCTTTCTTGCTCCGTGGTTCTCCCCACGTTGTTTTCGGCCGGTTTACTTTCCTTCTGGATGCCATATCAGGGGGTGGTACAAATCCTGGTGTTCTCCATCCTCAGTACATGGTCAAATCCAATTCCACTTCCTGAGTGTTATTATTTCACTTGCTCTAGCTGTCTTCGTTCTATCATGTAGTTCTTCATTTGACATTTTCTCAGGCCATCTTACTCTCATGACTTTTCTAAGGCACCTATTCTGGAAGATGTCAATCTTCTTTTTGTCTCCGTTGTTTTCCATGTCTCACTTCAATACATAAGAACCGACTGGACCAAACTGTTAAATAACTTTACTTTTGTTTGGATGGAAAATTTTGATGAGATCCAGATTTGTCTGAGCCTTTCAAATTGAGACTAAGCTTTTCACAGTCTGTTGATAATGTCCCCATCAGATCCTTCCTTTGTTGTTGTCACACCTCCAATGTGAGTAAAGGTTTCTACATCCTTCGGGACTTGTCCATCAGTCTTGAATGGCTCTATTATGTCAGGGTTGAGTGTCATCACTTTGGTTTTCCCGATATTTATTCTGAGGCTAGCTTTCTAGCAACTTCATTTAGTTTATGTGTCTTTGTTGGGTATCCCGAAATTTTGAGGAGAAGAGAGCAATATCAAGTCTAGATCTTCAAGTTTGTTGTGAAATTCCGCCTTTTTCTTGTAGGTTCTGTTTCTGTAGTTCTTCTCATTACGTAATCTAACACCAACAAAAATAGGAATCCAGAAATTGTGCAACCCTAGTTTCACACACCCTTGATTTTACCTGGAACCGATCTGATTCTTCTCCATCTTCTAGACCTGCACATTGGAATGATTCATATAGAAGTTTCACTATTCTGACAAGTTTAACTTTAATGGGGTCAAATGCTGGCTTGAGCTCAAGGGGTGTTTCAAACGCCATGAGGTCTCATCTTACAAAACCTCGAGTAATGCCAACCGTCTCAACAGGTTCTGTCAGCGAATCATATCTCACACCTGTTTAGTGACCCTGGTAATACCTTGGTAGCTTATTGACAGTGGTGAAAGTTGAGATTCCGGTGCCTTTTAATAACTGGAAAATGTGGCTAAGGAAACGAAAACCCAAAGAGAAAACGAGAAAACCACTGGCCCTCCGAGTCCAGGGGGGTTCTGCATGGCTAATCACCAGAAAGAGTAAAAATGTTCATGATTACGGAAACCCGAAGTATTCAGAAGTTAGCTTAAAATGCTTACATCTGGTTTCAGGACCATACATCTTAGAAGAGACTACTTGTTGATCTCTATTTTAATATTTACCATATAGGGTTTTACAGCGGGAAAGTCAGCAAATGCATCCGAGCCTCCAAGCATTATCCAGCTGGAACAATCTTGGACCTTTTTTTTTTATAATGATGACCTTTACTTATATTCTGGTTCAAAGGCACTGATCGCTTGCAGTCTGGATTTGAAAGTAGATGTAAAAGAGACCCGTGATCTGAATAGGCCTGATCAAAGGTCGTTTGAATGAGACCACATTCTGACAGTCTTTTTAATCAGAGAAGCGTCTCTGTCATTATGATCATATATATGTACGTAATATTAGATAATGTCTTATTTTAAAGTTCATAGCCTATGGAATGTTTCTGTTGGAATTTAGTTGCTGTTCATACAGCGCCGTGCGTTCGCAAGGTTGCAATTTAAACCAGGTATATCCTATTTTTACCCGCCAACTGCTAGAAAAAGTTTCCCTCAGTACACCGGTGTTTTACAATTACAGAAGTATATCTATCTATTCTCTTCTGCGAGATGCACCTAAATCTAAAACAATGAATAATAATTGACAATTTTTTTTTACTGACCATCCATGTGAAACCTACAAGACGCTTATTTAAATCAGAATCCTCTTAATTTTCATTTTTTTCTCACGAAGTTAAGTTCGAAGGAATTTTTCAATTAATGTAAACTTCATTTTTTCGTACCAACGAAGCATTAAAAGTTGAGAAAAGTCGCCTGTGGTGTATGGTGATGAGATTTGATTTCACTTTTCAATCATAAAAGTGTTTTATTCACTAAACTATATAGAAAATTAGGATTCATTTCATTCGTAATTTTTTTTATTCTAATGAGGAATATTGCTAAAATGATTATTTCGTCTTAACCATTCCCCGTTAATTAAGTTGTGAAAGTAATATCAAACTATACTTTCTCTAACGTTTTGCGAGCAAACAAGGGTAGTTGCCCTGGTATTGTCAAGGGATGAAGGTGTAATGACTTTGTTGACGTTTTTGTTATAAAACACTTTTATCTTCAGGATTCAATGTGTCGTGTTGGATGTCATTTGTTGGCCAATTATAACATAGTAACAGAGCATGGTAGTCGTAAAACTGTGACTTTTATACTCCGTACCCAGCCAGTCGTTTTAAGAGGCTGGCAAATGGCGGATGTTTATAAAGTCAGGAAGCACTTAGACCGTTAGCTGAAGCCTGTTGTCACAGAAACTTTTACATTTCTGACTAACAGATGAATAGCAGCGAGATTAAAACTAAGTAAATTTAGATTTACTCATCTTATTGCTTTTAATTTTTCATTTGAAGATTATTAATTATTTTTTTGTAATCTCTGTTAGGTGTGACACTGCAGATTCGGCATGGATCATCAAGAACGAGAACGTGGGCATCAAACGCCAGGTATCTGTAGATCAGAGAGAAGTTAATGACAGCTCTCAGAGTAGAGCTACTCTGGAGACCACCAGAAACCCACCATTCAAAAGACGCAACAATTTTTATCACAGAGTAAGTACACATACATATTTCTATCTTTTAAGATTGTGATAATCATACTGCAATCATTAGTCGTCCTCATAATTACTCACAGGCAATTATGAATATAAAGTTAGTGGTTTTAATACACAGTCTTTGGTGACGTTCACTTGCATAATTTAACCATGATTTTATAAAGCACTATCAAAGCAAGTAACCACTATACATTCTGTTTGTCGATAAAAAGAAGAGGATTTAAAATTGGGTAGAACGGAAGAGTAAAAACCTTTCCTGAAAATTACTAACTTTTGATGTTAAACTTGATGTTAGACTGTGAATTAATTGAAACTTTGATACGTTAGATTTGGATCTACCGATCAATGTTTAAAAGTGATATAACAAAGCGGTTCTATTACAGTACATAATGCATTATGGCTTTTCCATCTCTGCTTGAATTGAGTTCGATAACAACAATCTTATCAAATTCAATTGAAGGCAATTTTTCCTTTTTCCATTTTCTCTTTAAATTGCGGGATGCAATCAATTTTTATCCATACGTGAATAAAATTTCATTTCATCAAATCAAACATATATTCCGATCAGATCCCATTTTGACACTTGCAATAAGACATATACGTGATTTTTTAATTATGTGCCCCAGTCACTCTAGTACATTAATAGAGGTGGTGAAAGACGCTTTATATTGCTTTTTATAGTAACCTAAACTTAAAGCCGCCCCCTTTGCTGGTTTGATTTGACACATCAAGTTTTAAAGTAATTCTCCATCGGCGACATTAGGAATTATCAGTGGTCTTATAGAATTTTTACATCATTATCAGTAAGAACTTTGTCAACTTGTTCTAATGGTCTACACAAATTGTCAGCAAGAGAACCGACACAAGAAGCCCTTCAGGACAAGAGTTGACAGGACCATGTAAACCGATCACCTAAATCGTGTCTGTTGTCAACTCGTCACAGGCATGCTCAACTTCAACAATCCGGGTACTTTTGGAATTTTTGGAAGCCGCGTGCAATATAAATGCAAATTATTTCTAATGAGAACACCTTGATAAGTCAGGAAATTTGTTTTTGTGATCGGACACATGCATAAAGCTTCAAAAAAACTTTAAATTGAACGAAGAGAGGAAGAAATGATTTTCTGTGATGATATGTCAAACCTATTTGGCAGTGATGAATAATAATCCAACCTTAAAAAAGATTTTAAGAAGTCGTACATTCGCCACGAATGACAAAAAGGAAAAGTTGATTGCCAAAAGAACTAAAACAGAAGTAGAAAATGTACAGATGTATAGAGAAAAATCTTCTTTATCACCCTGTCCTACGTCGCCATTCTCCAACGGACAGACTCTAAATGTTGTTCACTTGCTCAATGCTATTCGGATCTACCGTCAAGACAATCAGGAGAAAAAACAGCGAACGAGGAAGGAAACCGATGGGAGAACTCTACCTACCCCTTCGTTTCGGAAAGCTCTACCTGCCTCTTCTTTGGTGAAGTCAGATTATAATGGGACAGAGAAAAAGAGAAAGCTTGAGGTATAAGAAATCTTTTTTTGCTTTCAATTCATGCAAAGAAAGCCCTTATCTGCAGAAAATCCAATTTTTGAATTTTCATCTTATTTTTGTTAACCGAAACAACTAAAACTAACCAATATAATTATATGTATTCACTACGTTTAATTTGCATTTGCTTACACAATATCTATTTCACAATTAAAATAGTTGAAAAAGATATATCCAACCCAGAAGTTTAAAAAGATGTACTTTTTAAAATTTGTCTGTTAGTAGACCATTACCTGTATTTCAGTATTTATACATTATTTTTTTATGAATTATATTTAAGAACATTATGTTCTTAACTTTACCTTGGAATTCACAATGCTATTTTGGCAATTTTGTTACGTGCTTGAATCCATCTTATTCACAATGGTAGATCACTTAACATGAATGGAATATAAAAGCTAACCAAAACCCACATGCTATACACTGATCAATATGAATGTTTCTGAACCTGACGTTAGAGTTTGTTAACAACTATTGCAGGAAATTTCTTTTTGAACACTATCATAATTTGATTACAAGCCATATATTTCCATACTGTATTTCCTTCTTTTTTGTCGTTTCTATACTCATTGACCATTGAGGCATTATTTAAAAAGCCTTATAAATAATTAGATAAAACTTTGGAATTATTTTCAAAGAACTCTAATTTAGAAGCAGATATCTCTTCTATGCAAGTCCTCACTGGGAGTTTGATGCTGCATCTGATTTTACCGACTTGACACATGTACTCTTGTTTAAGTTTAATATCAGACAAATTTTATGCCTTTGTCAATAACAATCACTACAAAAGATTGGCATAAATAGAAATGTTTTTGTGAATCGACCTTAAGAAACACTTGAACACTATTGCGGTTCTATTGACAACAACCTGAAATGTTAATCTCTTGTCAGAGCAAGGAGTGCACGGGTCCTAATATTTCGTCCACCACCTGGATTTCATTACCTGTACAACAGGTATGAAAGCTAAATCCCCGTTTATTGCAAGTGCAGCTCAATAGCAGCAACAAAGCACCAAGAAATACCCGACATGCTTTCCCTATTACATTTTCTATAGGTTTTTAATTTCAATGCAATATTTTAGAAAGCAATTAAAGAGATAACCATTTTAGCAACGCAATTATGTTGCGGAGAAATAAAGTGAAGATTTAAAAAAGTAACTCATATCAACCCCTGTGGGATATGAGTGAAATTTAACCAAATTTAGAACTGAGGACAATACGTTGTCGGTGTTACCCCGGAGTGGGGTAGAGATTGATCCTCTTTACATAACTGTATTACCTCCTACATGATATTTAACATTCGGGAATTATAAGGATAAACTTAGCATTGAACAAAATATCCATAGAACTTGATGACTTTGGAATGAATTACGCTGAAGGATGAATGTAACATTAATATAAGAAAATCTATAGATAATTGTGTTGGTTTTAGCTATAGTAGGCGATTAAGTCAGGCCTCCGAACCATGCACGGTCAATGGTTGACGAAATCTGTAATAAATCTTGTAACACTAGGCGATTATTTAAATGTCGTCCAGACATATCTTGTCACCCGAATTGATTTAGATTTCCTAATAAATTACAGAAATATCAATAATCACCCAAAACGCGCCAGAAGTATGGATGTTGAACACTCTACTTATTTACAATTGCATGTTTCCAAGTTACAGATAATATAAATGGTAATGGTTGAATTTATCGTGACATGATTCCATTCAAATAAGGAGGAATCTGGATTAATTTACAAGATGCACAGCCTAACTTACGCTGATGTGAGAACAACCACTATTTACAAGGCCGGACGTGTAATCATTGCTTTTGTTGGGAGTACACTTCTAGAAATTCGGACCAAATTCCGCAGTTACAATCCCACGTTGCCGATGTGTTTTGGATGACAATAAATACATATCTTCTCTGTGGAACGACTTTTCTTTTGAGGATTATTGAAGGAATATGAAGATAACAGTTTTTAATCAAGTCTCTATAGCATACAGGAATTTTCACTATTTACCGATACCACACAGAATCAATTGGAAAGTTTGCTCAGCCAATTGTAGAAGATAAGTGATCTGATATTCTGTTTACCATTAAGTGCAATTACAACTAATTGTTGCAGTTTGTCATTGTTCAAACATAATTAAGCGTTTTCTAATCACCAAATACCAGTATTGCTTGAAGATGATTCCCACCAGAAAATTAATTGAAGCCACGAAAGGCGACAATAGAGTCTTCAGGCGTCGGTCAGATTCACAATTTGGAAGGAAATTTAGTGATAGTAATATCTCTTATATATCGTCAAGTTTTAAATTGAGGAAAGATTCTCTTTCGGACTTTCCACGGAGATTGAGCATAAAATCGGATCAAGATTATCTAAAGTCTAGAAGTAGCAGCATAGAAATATTTTACCAAAGCAGACGATTTAGTCGAGATGACGTCATGGAGACGTCAGGATTCACAAAGAGTAAGGTTTATCCAATAACCGAGAGGAAAATTCTAGAAAGTGTCGATGGACTGTACTTGTCAAAGACCAAACTGATGAAGACAAGATCAACCAATAACCTTGGCCTACCACCACTGAATCCATCGAAGTTGTCGAAAAATTCACGAAAAACACAGCGACCTCCCGGAAAGTTCCTGAGGCGGGTCAGATCAGAAAATAATGTAATTCCACCCCCTTTCAAGAACAGAATTTTGGTGAGTCTATGATGGCAATTTGCTAATATCATATTATTTAAAAATACTTATTTCATGTAATTGAAGTAATGTGTACAAGAGTTGTCAATAAAGTTTGTGGACAATAACGTTTATGCATATTTTTTACATAAACGAATGCCCGGAATTAAAATACCTGAAACGTTTTTGGATTGCAAGAAAGCAGCTTCAGTAATTTAAGAAATGAATTTTAATGGCTTCCAAAGATATAAGGTATAACCTGAGCTGGGGCAGTTTACGCTTTATAATCCGTGAAGTGGTTTAAGAAAAAAGCGTAAACTGTTTTCATGTAAACACCATGCACTATGACATTAAGTGTATAAAAAATAAATATTAAAAAGAAAAGAAAAACGGATTTATGTGTTTTGACGTTAGTCATTGCGACTTTGGCAACACAGATTTTACTACATAAACTAATTTTTTTTAAGCCAATCAAAAAATGCACTACAAGCAGAAATTAATTATTATTTTACAAGTATTGCTGTTTTTGAGGTCAATACAATGATTTAGCCATGTGAAGAATTTAATATTTAACAGGTCGGAGAGAATACTCGAAATCGGGTATTATCCGTGAAATCGCGTGTAATACTCGATATTAGGGTATCGTTGAATCCGCGAAATCGGGTATTCCGTGCAACTTTCTATAAAAACTAAAGAATAAAGCAACGGCGCATTATGCCAGTTACTGTTACTTGAACATCAGTATCTTGTGGATTTATTTTTATTAAACCTAATTCATAAGGTTGTCAAATAAGTTTAAAATCACACGACAAACACTGCTGGGGTAACAAAGAGGACACAATGGCGTTATTATTTTTCAATATAATTTCTAAAAACAAATAACTACACTTCGTTTGTCTTTATTTCCCATTAAAGTATTCCATATACTTAATTTTCTAATTTGTGCACTATTCACAAAACGTGAAATTGTAAAGAAATTAAACGACTAACGCCGTGTTGTGTATTTTTACTGAAAAATGTATGGCGTCCCTTTCTCGTGAAACATAAATTACTCCTAACAGTTAGAGAGTACAGTATAAGCGAGTCATAATTGTATATCTCTGCAATAATAGAATACCAACGTTATTATAAAGAAGAAAATAAAATAAGATTAAATAAATACCCACGGGAAAACAGTTTGAAAATAGCCAATTGAAGGTAAGTATCTTTTTTTATGTCAATTTAGCATGAAATTTTTATTTGAAATGTTTTGTCAGAGGTGGTCAAGAAGCCTTTAGCCCCCCCCCCCCCCTTTGAAGTCGCCAAGAAATAGTAAAATATTGATGACTTAGCGAAATTAAACGATCAACAGTTATGTTCTCTCATAAGCTAAATTCCTGAAACTATCACTGTCTCTGCTAAAATGTTGAAGACATATTCTGCAAATATGTTTGAATGATAAATAAAAAAGAAAAGATTTTCAAAAAAAGAGAAAGAGGGTTATGTTCTAAATTCACCAGTTCAAACGAACATAAATTATTTATAAATAAAACTCAAAAACACTTTATATAGGATGAGCTCGCATGCGCGAGTGCAACAGACTTTAATGAAGTATATACAGTATACAAAGCACAGTCTTTAGCGTAACTTCTGAAATCCAAATCATTCTACAAAAGAAAAAGAAACAAATAAAGCGACAGTCAACATTAAAACGAACATTTTAACGTGTACAGTATATCGATCGTACTGGAAGGGGTGGGTGGGGTGGGGGATAAGTCTGTTGCAATGTAGCAGCGAACTTCGAATAACTTAAAACACCCGAAAATCTACCTTATACGTGTCTGAATCATGCGTAGCACGGATTCAACCTATTCACCCGTAAACAAATAAACAACCAATCGATCTCCTTTATCGATGGACTTAATCTGCATACAAAACAAACACACGTGTTTTACCATAACTTTTATAAATATATTTATGTTCTAAATTCACCAGTTCAAACGAACATAAATTATTTATAAATAAAACTCAAAAACACTTTATATAGGATGAGCTCGCATGCGCGAGTGCAACAGACTTCGACGATAAAGAAAGCATTGACATAAAATTATCGAAACGTGTATGACCCCACCCCTAGATATCAAGACTTCAAGGTAATCCAATTATTACGTTTTTCAAACCAGGCCTTGAATAATTAAAAATTATCATAAAAATGTCGCAGAATTCTCAAAGTGATGCGTATTTACCCACATTGATCATTCTTCGAACTTCATAAAGAAAAGTTAATATTATTTAGGAGAATAAAAAAATATAACTTTTCAGGAATGCAAATGAATTCACCTATAACATGCATTTTCCAAACGAAAGTTTTTCGACAATTATATCTATGTTAAAAATTATAGGTTTCCAAGCATTTGAAGAAAACTCCACAGATTTTTATACTGAGTTCTGTGTTACTTTAATTTCTTCTATGTATACTGCAGAATTATTATTATGCATAAATACTGTAGTTTATAAAGCGTTTGCTATGAATGCTAAACTTCATAAATCAATTATAAATTTATATCAAACTTAAAAATTGGTATTTAAGGCTAAATCGAGGACATTTGTATAAAAATGTTCAAAGAACTTTCAATTACATTAAGATTCATAAACACTCAGTCTCCTCATTGGTATGAAATGTTGTTTGAACCTAAATGATTTTCCAAAAAAGAAATGTATTTATAAGTAAAATACATGCAATTAGACAAAAAAGACACTTGCAAATCTATAAAGGAATATTAGACATTTATGTCATTCAGAGTTATCTCTCCTATCAGAGTATTAATGAACCTTAAGTTGCATGAAATTCAATTTGTTATATATAAAGATTTCAATTTCAAGCTTCCTTTGGAGACTTTCATGACTTTTTGAATAAATCATTAAATAAGAGTTATCCTTCCCGGCTGAAGAGTTTTCTTTTCCTTTTTACCATGACGTCTTCAGATGAACTCAAAAAGCCTTCTACGTTCATTTTTTTTTTTTTTTAGTGAATCATACATATCAGCATTTGCAGTTCAGATAGCAACCCCGTTAAAACACTATGAAGAATAAAATTACTTATATAAACTTAAAAGTTTGAGTGCTTACAGAATTTCTCTGTTTCTTGTACAAGATTGTGACTTCCAGATACACAAGAATAACTTTTACAATATAAAATAAATTTAAATCAATCATAAATTATACTCATCTGATCAAACTCAATTATTAACCTTTTCTAAACATCTCTTGGTTATTAGCAATAGGACAAAAGAACTGAACTACACCTACCAGAATGTAAACATTATTCCTCTTTGATTTTGACTAGAGGTGATTTGTCCGAACCTTGATTTTAAACACAGCTTTGGAAGTCTTCAGACAAATCCTTCAATGAAAGTTTTGCAAAACATCTGGTCCGTGTGTCCTGACTAAAGATACCTGAAAAAACTTTGCTCCAAAAATTTCAAAATCAGATTGTGATATCAAACTGCTTTATTATTCCCAAATCATTTTCTAAACGCTTAGAATCCAATCCAACAGAGTCTGTGATTATAAGAAGCACAGTTACAATTTGGCCTCCTTTACAGAATAAACAAGACAATGCTATATTAGTATTTAAGCTATTAAAATATAAATACGCAAGTACAGTAGTTTCGCTTTGTCAATTGAAATTTCAAATATGTCTGCAAATACATCTCAAACAAATTGCACTTTTGTATATCTTTTGAAGTTTATGTACTTGCATTTATCGATAAAACGAGTTTCCTGCTTCAATGAGATACTATAATTTTACACATCTTCAAAAGACAAGAAGGCAACTATATTTAAGGTCATGTCAACTTCGAAAATACTTACAAATCCAACAAAGAGAATTGTCTGCATACCATACATCTCGGAATTTTCCAGCTTCATCAAGATACTTACAGGTCTTTTGAAGGTCTTTTGCTAAATATACTAGTCAATACTACATTCCAAAAATGTTAACTTCTTCGAAAATTTTAAAAATTTCAAAAATAATTTTATGATCAATGTACATGATGAACCATTCAAGCATTCCAGCTTCATCTAAGCTACTTACAGAATTTGAAAGGGTCTTGCCTGCATCATACTACATCTGAAACCATGGCAGATTCTTCAAGCTACTATAACTGAATTTTAAGTGGTTTTGTCTGTATCAAACCCTCTCAAACATGCCAGTTTCTTCAAGCTACTAACTGAATTTTATATGGTCGTTTCTTTGTAAAACTACATCTCAAACCATGCCAGCTTCTTCGAACTACTTACTGAATTCTCTATGGTCTTGTCTGTATCAATCTACATCTCAAACCATGCAAGCTTCAAGCTAATTACAGAACTTGAAAAGGGCCTTGTCTGCATCATACTACATCTCAGACCATGCCAGCTTCTTCAAGCTACTTACAGAACTTGAAAAGGGCCTCGTCTGCATCATACTACATCTCAGACCATGCCAGCTTCATCAAGTTACTTACGGAACTTGAAAAGGGCCTCGTCTGCATCATACTACATCTCAGACCATGCCATCTTCATCAAGCTACTTACGGAACATGAAAAGGGGCCTCGTCTGCATCATACTACATCTCAGACCATGCCAGCTTCTTCAAGCTTCTTACAGAACTTGAAAATGGCCTTGTCTGCATTATACTACATGTCAGACCCTGCCAGCTTCTTCAAGCTACTTACAGGACTTGAAAAGAGCCTCGTCTGCATCATATTACATCTCAGACTATGCCAGCTTCTTCAAGCTTGGAAAGGGTCTTGTCTGCATCATACTACATGCCAGACCATGCCAGCTTCATCAAGCTACTTACAGAACTTCCAAAGGGCCTTGTCTGCATCATACTACATGCCAGACCATGCCAGCTTTATCAAGCTACTTACAGAACTTCAAAAGGGCCTTGTCTGCATCATACTACTTCTCATATCATGCCAGCTTCTTCAAGCTACTTTCAAAACTTCAAAAGGGGCCTTGTCTGCATCATACTACATGCCAGACAATGCCAGCTTTATCAAGCTACTTACAGAACTTCAAAAGGGCCTTGTCTGCATCATACTACTTCTCATACCATGCCAGGTTCATCAAGCTACTTTCAGAACTTCAAAAGGGGCCTTGTCTGCATCATACTACATGCCAGACCATGCCAGCTTCTTCAAGCTACTTACAGAACTTTAAAATGGCCTTGTCTACAAAACATCAATACATGTGGCAATAGGTCTTGCGAATATCATCATGATATCAACTCTTGAGTCGTATTTTCTT